ATTCTCATGAGGAAATACAAATTTAAATAAGAACGAAAATTCGCGAAGCATCTTGGTAGTGGGAGTCAAATGACGCCATCATGCAAACGTCCTATACTGCCCCCTCCCTTTCCCCTTCTCTAAAAAAATCGACTTTGTTTATTTATTTACTTTTTTGCTCTCTATAGCCCAAAGTAGTATTTTCCATAAAAAAACGCTAAAAAGCGAAAGACTTTATACCATGAGAAAACAGACGTCCTTATGATTTGGTGGGGAAACGGGGAAGCGATCGCCAAAGGACGTCTATTTTCTCAGGCTACGAAAGACTCTCCAAATAATATTCTATTATATGAGTTGCGATACATAGCGCGCTATGATCAACTTTGAACTAATTTTCACAGAGATATTCTCTATTTGACTCTACTTTTTTCCTGGATCCTGGGTTGACGTCATCATTTCGGGATTTCTATATCATTGCATATCTGCGCAACGAAAAGAGATATCAAAACGAAAGTAAGGCCATATTCTTATTTATTCTATAAGGGCTTTGAAATCAAGAAAAGATCCTGGAGGCTCGATAGGCTCTTTAATTGATTTCGAGTACTCCATCTATAACACATCTTACTAGCTTCTAAACTTCTTGCTATAAAGAAATACYATGCTATTATAATTGTATTACCTATTTTCTCAGGCCGCGGCAATGCTTGATCATTATTTCGTTATTATGTTATTATGTTTCCGAGGCCAGGCAGTTTATTAAGGCCCTGGCTAAGTGATAAAACATGTTTCCATGCGTCTTGGAAACATGAAATGCTTCTGCTGCACAGAAAATTAAAATATTTTTTGAGTCTTGGAAGCAAAATTTGTTGCACGCAGGCAATGTGGCTAAACTGGGAAACATCGAGGAAACATGGAAACATGTTTCCTCGTTTAGCCAGGGCCTAAAAACATTCACTAGCAGTCGTTTTATGCTTTTGCATTTGGTTTAAACTGTATTATTGATGTGTTTGTTCGGACGTGTCGGTCGATTCATCAAAGATCTTCATCAGTTTGCAATGGTCCCTTCCACAGTTCCCTGCGCCATCTTGAAGGGTCATGCCTTAATTTGCATTGAAGCATGTGAATAACTGCAAGCTCACCTTTTGTATTTCTTCGATGCAAAGGCATGGCTACCTTTCAAGATAGCGCATGGAACTGTGAAAGAAACTATATATTTACCCATATGGGCCTTATAACGGTGTTAGGGTATGCAAGTCATATGACGTGATGGCAGCAACGACAGAAGCCTTACTTTTTCCACTGGGCTTGAAGTTATTTTTTAACACTCGTTTCACTGCTACGCGCTGATCGAGACAACAGTCGCAACAAGGAAATAGGGCAATACACTGCCGCCAATCAGAGAATAATATAAAGGTACTGACCAATTTATTTGATTGACGGAAGTTTATTGCCCAATTTCCCTGTCGAAACTGTTGTCTCGATCAGCGCGTAGCAACAATAAAAAGAGTGGTAAACCACAGGTAGCCCAAGCTTGGTTTCTGTGGTGTCATGTTATTAGGAAATGTATGGGGATTCTTCAAAAATTTCAATGAAAATMATTGAAACGTGAAATAAAGCCTCGACATTTTACCTGATGATTTCATTTAAATTTTTGAAGAATCCCCATACAGCCTCGAAATTTTACCTGATCATTGAGAAATAGCGCTTCTTTCGCTCTGTGTGGTTATCTTTTGAATTTACAGAGCGAAAGAAGTGCTATTTCTCAATGACCAGGTGAAATTTCGAGGCTTTATTTCTCGGGTCAATGCTGGATTTTCATTGAAATTTTTGAAGAATCCCCATACAGTTTCCTTATAACATGACACCACAACCAAGCTTGTGCTACCAATGGATAAATCAAATGAATTATTTTGCCTGAAACCAGATTAGACCAGATCCAATATATGGTTCCAGCTTCCTGTCATGGCTGCCATCACGTGATGGTACAAAGCCTCCATATTCTTGTTAGCCACGTCCGTCATGAACTCCTTCATCTAGTTTTCTATTTTACTAGTCAAACAATGCAAGCATTGAAATTTTTGAAGAATCCCCATACAGTTTCCTTATAACATGACACCACAACCAAGCTTGTGCTACCAATGGATAAATCAAATGAATTATTTTGCCTGAAACCAGATTAGACCAGATCCAATATATGGTTCCAGCTTCCTGTCATGGCTGCCATCACGTGATGGTACAAAGCCTCCATATTCTTGTTAGCCACGTCCGTCATGAACTCCTTCATCTAGTTTTCTACTTTACTAGTCAAACAATGCAAGCACATACACTTCAGCACATGTCGTTCCTTCATTATCATATTCACCATAGTTGGTCAAGTCTTCTCCGTACCAAATGCGATACTCTTGACCAGCGGTTACCACCATAGGGCTTGTAAAGTTCTTAAAAATAAGCTCTTCGGAATTATAATTGGAGTAGGGCAAAAGGTAGGATAGTATGTTATAATTGGTTATGAATTCATCTTGGGGAAGGATCCTCTGGTTGCTGCTGTTGGTTATGATGGTGTAGAGCTGTTTATCATTACCAGAACCCCATTTGCTTCGTGCATCTATTCTGTTACCAGCGGCCACGTACCCTTTTACATATACAAGCTTGATTCCTTTAACTGATCCACTTTGGTTGATGTAAAAACGGCCAAATGATGAGGTTTTTGCTCCAAAACAGACGGGACTAGTGTTAGTCTTGTGCCATTTATCTATCAAGATGAGAAAATCATATATTACAATACACATTACCGGTGAAACCACTTCCGGTATTGTTATTGGAGGAAAATATTATTGCAATAAGCCCATCTCCGAGATATGCTTCGCTTGTCACGCACGAAGGTTTCAGGATGAGTATCCAATATGGTAGAATATTGAAGTCGAGACTTAAATATCTCTAGCATAATGGACGAGGATAAATCCAATAGGTGTTTTATTATATTGAACAAATATTTTTTTCAATAAAAAGACCACAAGTATATTAGCAGTCCAATAGGTTGCTGCCTAATATCGCAAAATAATGGACCGCCACGTGACTAAAATACGGAGATATGATGTTGACTGCTCAGAACGGTTGCTTGGAAACAATGCAAGTTTATGGCCATCACGTTGTACCTTTTTGGCCAATCAGAAGAGAGAGAAAATGGACTTTTATACTTGGTATATGATAATCCTTTATTATATAGACACTAGTGTTACGTTTTCAATGGCAAATACACCACTTGTATTTTTCATACGAACTACATCCGGGACCTCAGTGACATATTTTCCATATCCTCAGTAGTGAAGATATCTATGATGTCTTTTCCAATGTTTTCGACAATTTTTTGTTTGTAAATGTGTCTATATAATGAAAAGAAAATTACACGTTGACTTGAAGTTTATCTTCTTGTGATGAAAAATATTTCACTCGTTCGCTACGCCAACTCGTGAAATATCAACTGTCATATCTTCGCGCCACTGTGTAATATCCTTAACATATGTTTAAACTGCGTGTAGATGTTGTTTTCGCGGCAGCCTCGTTTTTCCTTGATAAACTATTTTACTATTAAATCATTATTAAATGGTTATTTATTTGATTAATATTCACACGTACATGTCTTGACCGCGCATAGTTTTCCCTTGAATCCTTCCGGGCAACGGCACTGGAAGTCACCGTATTCGACGGCTTCACACGTTCCTCCATTCAGACACTTGTTGTCCATACATACTTCCTAGAATATTAAGACAGTAATTATAATGAGAATATAATAATTGTGGAATTAAAAAGTGGCTCAAGGAGTGGCTGCGTTCATAACTGAAATAGTTATTTTTGGGGGACTTGAAGGGGGGGGGGGGGGTTAAGATTTTATTGTCATTTAAAGATTTCACTTGCCCTCCCAGCCATACATTATACAATACAATACAATACAATACAATTTTATTTGGCACCTTATACTTAATAGTACATGAGTCATATAGTGGACACCAAACTAGAAAGTGTTTTTCGTTTTCTACTCCCGACTTACACACTGGGCAAATCCTTTCATCGTAAATGAGATAATACATTATGAACGCAGCCTTAGTCTCCTGCGCAGCCGCTATTAGTTTCAATAATGTGACATACAGATAAGATATCCAGATGCGTCTAACTCCAAGACGTCCATATCTTCTACCACGGTGCATGTTTTCTACGTTCGTTCCATGTTTTCTCGGGTCCAGTCCAGTCCATGTTCTAGACCATGCCATTCCAGCTATTCTTGCATCTTAGAATACCTATATCTCATATCACTTATTACCTATCGCCGTTCGCCCCTTCAACCTTTTTTGAAATAGCTGTATACGGCACCGCAGGAGAGCGGGAATCAAAACCGGTGTCGCTTTACGGGTGAGAGGTGAGATGAATGTATCTCTCACCCAAGTACGTTAAGAGTCTTTTTAAATGAAATATAATCATTTGTTTCGAAAATATATCGGTTATAACACACACTGCATGACGTTAAAAGCCATCTGGTCTACAGACCTGAAATCTCACAAAACAAGCAAACTGATTCTGAGTGCCGAGTAAGCTGAACTTCCTGCTGGTGCGGTGCAAACTCTCGAATTTTCTATCCCCACAGTCATTTATTACTTTCAACACAAATTTTGTAATGCAGTTTTAAGTGCAGTTCTCATTGCCGTCCCTCATTATTGAAACCCAAGCTAAATTCCAATTTGAAAATCTTTGAGATATTGACGCAAGTAACCTGACTTCGATCGATTCTGGGGATGTTTCGGAGTCCAATATGGAAGTTAGCCGTGCCCTGACTTAGATCAGCCCAGAGGTTGTTTCAGGGTTCGATCTGTGAGTTAGCCATGCATGCCCTGACTTAGATCAGCCCAGAGGTTGTTTCAGGGTTC